CAGGTCTCAGATGTCTACCCTCTGGCCGGAGAGCTGAAGAAAAAGTCATTTGAGTCTGGCGCCCAACAACGTGACTTCTGGCGCCTTCGCCTCCAAACGCCCAGTCGAATACTAATTTTGTATAGTCTTCTCTCGCTTTCACTTGCCTCCGAATCGGGAAAAGTTGACTGGCTCAGTCGAAGCAGCGACCTGGCTGGCGTCAAGAAGGTCAATCTGAGCTCAACTACCAACTCCTCTTCCGCGCGGAACGGCTTGTCGGCAGATCCACTCAAACTGGACGTCCTGGCGACAATCTCGGAAAGGTCAAGCCCACGACCATATCACTCGCCGCAACTGTTGGCGTCGGGTGATCCTTCAGACGACCTGAGTGAAGCAGAACTGCAGACGCATCAGTCGACAGATCGGCTGAAGCGATTTCTTCGAGATGCCTCTGAAGCATTCCTTTTGCCACGATCACCCGCTGAAGCGATCACTCCAGCCGGCGTCGGCGGTACAATGGTTTTGCCGGAGCAGGCGGCCTTGTGCGCTGAGTTTGTCAACTCACTTCGGCTTCCACGAACCTCCGGTCCCGGAGGACTGGCCGGAAATGGCGGAATGCGTATCAGAGACATTGATCTGCGCGATGAGGATCAAATGCAGCAGTACAGCTTTCGTACACCTCACAACGCCGACGGAAACTATCCAAACGACATGCAGTGTATCAAAGTAATTAAAGGTATGCTGCCCACGTTGTCACATGGTACACGATTGTCAACCAAACAGTGTACTTTATTTACAAATTACCGAAAAAATAACTATTCATCTTAACTAAACAGCATAATAAAACCTATATGAAATGTATTCACCATATTTCGTTTAATGTGATGAAGGACTACTGGTAGTTGAATTTTCCAACAATGCTATGAGTAGTAAATTTCACAGAGCCTTCCTGCCAAAAAGGTATTTTCATCCCGGCTGAACTGGATGGCAGTTTAAAAAAATGCATCACCTTAAATGAAATAGGCTAAATACATCTCATATAACTGATTTATTGGTTGTTTCTAAAGTCTACTCACTAATGAAAAGTAAGTAGCATAGTCGATTGTTATGGAAAATATAATTTTGCTTCATCGACAATCTCACCACAGAATGTGATATGGGAAAATAACTGGTCTCCCTTGGCATAGTGGCTAACGTGTTGATATAATACGCTGCACTGTCAGGAACCGGGTTCGAGTCTCTCTTTGAGGGTGTCGATAAGACCTAGGCGACGTCGAAAATGCATTGCGGTCTGGCCTGGTTGAGGCAGCCTTTGGGGGAAGCAAGGTTATGTGGATTCATTGTGGATTCATGTCATTGTTAGAAAATTCAACTATTCGTCCTTCATCACCTCAATCGAAATAGGCTGAAAAGATCAAATCACAACTGAACTCTGTTCAAGCTCTGAAATCTTGAGTCTCGTTTAGTTCATACTTTAACTAGAGGATAAAATATATACCATAAAATAAAGGATATATATCAAGATATTCCTAGAATTATGATAAAAAGGTGAGATCAGCTGTCCGACGTGGTCTAAGGGAATCAAATTTAATGAGAAAAACCCAATTAACCTTAATAACACTAAATAAATGATAATATTTGCTATATTGTATTAATTAAACTGAATAGAGTAATTAAATTAAAGACATAATCAGACTGATTTAAGTAACGGAATGCGTCGTATAAAGCAGAGCCGATCTCTCTTTAATAGATTTCGGAATAAATCTGCCAGAATTGAGCTCGGAAGAATTGAGCAAACCAATTAAAAGATATTATGAGACATGTGCTCAACTTTTGTTGAGCTTCAACTAACCAACTTCATCAATGTGTAATCTTGTCTCCTGATATGTATGTAGACAAACGAAACACTTACCTTTGTCTCATAGCATACATGAATCAGGCTCATCATTTCGAGTATGCTACCATAATAGACTGCACTAATTATGCGTTTTTCATGAAATACCAAACAAATTGCTGAGACGATGTGGTTTTGGCTTCCTCATTTCTTCTTAACTTTGAAAGAGTTCATACAAAGGGAATTCTTTCCCTCCGAGGTTGTGGATAGACCGTATTCACATACAATCTGAGCTAGAGAAGAGTTCACTCAGTACGAATTTCAAACTTAATTGCTTGAATCTCGAGGTTGGTATCATTTTCAGTCCATCATTTAAGACACAATTTTTATTTTCTCCGCTTGTGTTTATGCGTAAATACGGGAAAATGTGGTGGCTTGGTTGTCACTAGGTGGACTCTGGTTTAAGGGATTTATGCCGGTTGTTGTCATGCCTACTACATAAAGAGATTTTTTCATCGATTCTATCCGTGGCTCTTTGTAGTTATGCGTTTGCGCTCACCAAATACTGAAGGTGCGGGTATGCACGAGCTTATCACTAATTTAATTGTTGTTCACTTTGATGCATTCGCCTATGATGAAGGTGAAAGATATCAGAGGACGGCGAAAATAGGCATAAATCGGTCTTTAGACTCACGTTGAACGAAAGAAAAAGCATTCATCTACCAAAAGGCTGACAGACCACTGAGAAATGAGGCATACAAATGTCCTGATGGAGTAGAGCGAATTTAGAGGGACTAATCGTGCCTAATGAGCTAGGACTCTTTAAGCACGACCAAGTTATTCAGATTTAATCGACTCAACTGTGCATATTTTTATTTTTACTTTAATAAATAACGTTGTATATTTATCTTGATAGGGAATGATTCACTTTTGCCCACACTAATGTATGGTGGAAAGTTCCTAAGCTGTTTATTGGTCATAATCCAAATGTGATCATCTCTGATAATAGCGGTGTTCCTTCGTCTAGACAAGTTAGTATAACTATTAATTACGCAAGATATTATCACATTAGTACTATAGAAACAACCAAGTAATCGCTTTTTATGAGTTTTATGCACTGATATTTGCGCCGGCCACGAGGAATTCAATATACGGCTTTTTTAATTTATGGAATTTCATTGCGTAATCTGCCAAAAAAGTGGATTTCCACCCGAACTAGACGAGACCGTTAAACTTTTTGTAAAATATAGTCACCCACCAAAGGACTCGAAACAAAGACATGCAGCTTCTGTGGTTAATGCACTCTATGAAATACGCCAAAATGATGACATTTTAAAAGGAGAAACTCCTCATCCACATGTTGGAATTTCATCATGAATGCAAAAATGTGTCCGTCAATATGCATGATTATAGTTAACTGCCAATAACTAAAAAGTATTTTTGAGCGTTGCACTTGAGGGTAAATCTTATATTAACTGGAATATTTGAAGGGCTAAATAAATCATCATTATTACATTATCTAGTTTCTAACATTTAAGATATTTTGACTCAAGATTTCTTCCTGAGTTTTCCAATAAAAGGTTTTTTCCCATTATCCGACTTATATTTTTATGTAATCTTACTTGGATTTCAAAATATAGAGTTTGGAGCCAAAATTATCTTAGGATTTTCCGGTTAGTCACAGAGTATAATTACACGGTAGGTATAGTTACTATTATTTATTAATATTTCGTGCTATTCCAAGCATTCTTCGCCTTTTTTATCTTGTGATTTTATTTGTCATCAGATTGTCCATTTTTCTCCATTTTAGACTATACATTTGAATTAACCATGCTCGTTTTTTATCAATTTTTCTCAGTGGTTGCAGCTTTTTTGAGAATGCTGTAACATCAGACTTTATGCATTTATAATTAAGCTACCATAG